TCATTCAATTTTTTTAAAGCAGTCTGCTACACACTACGTACTGATTTTTATCACCACAAATAGACATATAAGTAATGTTATGTTTTTTTTTTTGCAAATTTGTCGAACTAATTATTTGGTGCTTTCGAATTGTAGCCTCTGTCTCTGGTTACAAGTCAAAAGTTATTAAAATTCTCGCATAAACATTGAAAAGATGCCCATTAATAATAATTTTAATCCATATTATAAATTTGTTTCCTAAGAGGACGCTATATCATGGGAGGAACTTTTCATCGCCGATTATCTTTGACCTCCATAAATAATATATATATTAGCAAAAGTGAGTTCAGACAAACTTAGAGTAAGCCATGAAGAAATATTGAACACAAATTTCCAAGCTATCATAATGAAAATAAAATATGAAAAGATAACTTAGAATAACTACAATTGGGAAGTTGTTTTCCTAGAACTTATTTGCATTTTAATATTTGTTTTTATCAATTAAGACTTCCTGGCTTACTCTAGGTTTGCCTAAACTCACCTTTTCTATACTTTAAATTTTAAATTAGTTATGAAGATAAAATAGAATTTGGAATGAAAAGTTTGTCTCATGGTATGGGAGAAACTTTTCTTCTCTTCTCTTCTCTTCTCTTAAGTAAATATTCACGAAAAGCGTTCTGTATTGAAAAATTAATTATACAGAAAAAGGGCATTTAAATTTGAAAGGTAATTTTTGTCTTTAGAATTATAGTGCCTCAAAAATTAAATTTAAATGAAAATCAGATATCATTCTTTATAAAATATTTATTTCCTATGAGCTGCGCAATCAGTCTACCCGATGAGCAGACCTAGTGCGTTGTACAGAAGTGGCGTCCACTCTTTCAGGAGCACCACAATGGGTGAGATACCGTTGGCCATGTTAATTTGGACGTCTAGTTTTTGCCACCCTAGATGGCAGCACCGAGACTCTATTTGGATGCTGTAAAATATTAATCAGTTAAAAATTTTAATTTAATAATAAAAAATAAATGATATTAATAGCTTAAAACATAGCAAAAATATAATAACTGTTTAACAGTTCAAATGTTCGCTTGCGGGAAAGTTTTAGAAATCTATCTGATAGCTTCTATAACTACTTTAAAGTTTGATAGATTTATAAGAAAATAAAACTCAATGTAATTCAGTTTATTTATTTAAATGTAGAAGTAAAAAATCTCAAACGGATTGACTGTGTAGAAAGAGATTTTGCCAATCTGAGAAGGAATAAATTGGAAGACCATGACCAACAAAAGAGCGGTCTGGAAAAAATTTCATGGGAAGGGTAGGACTCGAGCTCGGCTGTCATGCCATTAAAAAAGAAGAAGAGGAAGTGATAAATGCCATAAATATTTGTTATAGATAAAAAACACGATTTAGTATTCAATTTTGCGTCCTTAACACTTTAAAGGGTTGCCCGTTCGAGATGGAATTCTCGCCACGCGTTTAAATTTATTTGCTGTATATCATAAGATATTAATGATATTAAATAATTCTGATGAGTTCGAATTGAAAATTTGTTTTCGTTATTTACAGAAGTTTTGGTGAAAAAGGCGACGTGGTTGGTAGATTTAGAAAGAATCTCGCTTTCTTGGCAGTCCCGATTTGGGCCTCTTTTTATTTGTTTATCACTTCTTGTTTTTGTTGCAAGTCGTGCACCATTATTCACTAGTGTTAGCAAATTGTTCGATCAGCGAGATTAAGCTCATTTTACAAATTATCATTTAAGTTTAAATTTCGAAATTGTTCTATTGGTGGTTGGACAAAGTAAGAAGTGTTTTATAACATTCGCTTTTCAAATGATTATTCCTACGTCTTCAAATGACAGGTCTTCAGATGACGATTCCTAGAACGATTCTTTTTTTAAACACAACTAATAAATCAGGTAACAAGTATACAAGAAATGCTACTCCAGAGAGTCTAGAAACACAATGTTCCAAACCAAACCAAAATAAACCAAATGGTTTCAAAATATATCGGAGACAGTAAACCAGATGTATAGGCAGTGAAAAGCTTACAGTGCACCCTAGTGTAGAAAAACGCCATCCATAAGAAAAAGGATATATTGAATGCATCACGCATCATAGTACGAAATTTATATTAAATATTTACTGCCTTAATGGGAAAATCATTAATTTTATACTGAAGGAAGGTGACTTTGCTCCTTTATGAGCTTTATTATACGATTACTACGATTAAAATTATTAATACGATTTTAATATTTTGAAAGAAAAAGCTGTAGATAGCAAGAATATGAAATCAGAATCTCCTTTGAAATAGATGTTCTATTTGTACTCCGTTTTGGAGTTTTAATATTTTTAATGTCCATGCATTTCAAATTTCGAATACTTAATATAGTAAAATCTTGTAAGAATTTCATATTAAATATTGTAAGAAGACTTCGTTCACGGTGGTAATCTAAACGCGGCCTTTTTTTCGAACCTTTCTTTCGATTGCTAGAAAAATATTAACGACATATAATGTAGAAAAAACAACGACCTTCTGTATTTTTTTAATATCCCAAAAGTTGTGCAAGATAATGTCTGATTTATTGATTATTTTATTATTTGTTCTCTGATGCTGTCTAATATTAGGTGCTACTTGGGTATGCTTGGTTCTCATTGGTTTTCTTATCTTCCAGTTAGGGCAAAAAAAATCAAGGTGACTTTATTTTGTTGGCTCACACTGTATAACGATTATTCAATTTGATTTTCCTCTTACTTGTTACCTCTTGTTTCTTTGCTATTATTATTATAATAATAATAATAGCAAAGAAACAATAAAGGGTTCTAATATTTCATTAGTGGATCTAGCAAATCAATATTTGGTCGGAAAAAAAAATATGCTGGAAAAATATTTTATTTGTGTGTATAATTTCGTGACGTAAAATCACGTGCGTTATAATATTGATTAGCATATCTTAAATTGACTCCATGAAGTAAGCATTTTAGTGAATAAAATTACAGTTAAGTAAATTTACGATGCTACGCTAATTCAATCAAATATTTAAGTTCTGATTTTAAATTTAGTTAAAATTATTAAATTAGAGAGTCAAGTTTTCAAAATGGATCATGTATCAAGCGGATCATTGAGCACAAATAAAGCATTATTAAAATACTTCATTATCATTCATTTAATTTCCTTTTATATCCAGCGTTGAAAAGTTGAACCAGTATTATCATGCATTTTATTTTTATATTTTATATCCGTTGTTGGACCAGCCGACCCAATTTCGGGTTAACGACTATTAATTTTCAATTAGGTAGCCTTGTAATTTTGAACCAATCCAGAAGACAAGGAAACTCCCGAATCAGTACGCCCAGAGGTATTGATTTATTATGGGAACATGGAGGACTTTGCGACTCGACAGATTTATCGTGAACCAGTCCCCATTTACTACACGAGGAGTCCATGGCCGGCCTGGGATCGAACTCACGAATTCTTGGACATGCGCCCAGCGCCTTACCAACCAGGCTAACCTGGCTTGTATTATCATGCATTGGAGGAACCTGCTAATGCATAATTTAATTTGTTTTGCAATCTATATTGGATTTTCGATAACTACTCAGAGAGTTTCTAAAATGCGACTTGCTTTATTTTTGCTAAAAATCATATTATGATTTTAATCATAGCTTTTTATAAGCATCTATTTTTAATTACTAAATATTATTTGCTCAATGTTGATGAATTAATGTTTTTTATGCACATATTTATTAAAATAGTAGTAGCAGTAATTTATTTACGCCACACTAGAGTTGCGTAATGGATTATTGTTGATGATCTGCGAAACATCCCTGAGGATAATTCGAAGACACGCCATCACATTTTTGATTCTCAGTAGAGAGGATGGTTCCCCTGCTTTCATAAATTCCTACGACTTGCACGCGAAATCGAGCACTTTAAGGGTAGAGTAGTTTAAAGAGGACGGATACCGTATATCCTCGTTCCCTTCGCAGGCTGATCAAAGTTGTCACCCCCCGCTCACTGATAGCTGCAGTGATGCTTGACTTCAGTTCAGGGCCCGATTAACCTCTGAAAATAGGGGAAGCATAATAGGATTTTGGGGCCCCCCTAACTTGAGCAAAAGAAACTTTTGATATTTTTCGCCCATAAACAATACATTTTAAAGAGGGAAGAACCATGTGAAAACTATTAGAACCTTAGAAAGGAATACAGAGATCCTATGCAATCATGTTGGACCCTTCTTTACGTGCTTTATAAAGCACGTAAAGAAGGGTCCAACATGTATAGTAGCCAACTATATATCGTAACAAAAACATGAGGGAGTAGCTAGCACATATGTTGACAAAATTTAAAATATTTCACTAAATTAAATTATAAAATTACTTGTTGTTATACGAAAGGTTCTTTGCAAGATGAGTCTCTTTTTTTATGCCAATTTTTTTACTAGCGGCAAAACAACACAAAGCATCCCATTTATTAAGCATCCCATTTTTTTTCTTTTCGAGAGTTTTTGTTGGAGTCATTTTTTTTCTTCTTATTTCTTTTATTATTAATATTTTTTTGGCTACAAAAAATAAGAAATTGGGCCCTTAATTTCAGTCATTTGGGGGCCCCCCTAGAATTTAAAAGGGGAAGCACTTGCTTCCTGTGCCTTTTCGGTAATCAGGCCCTGCTTCAGTTATCTACAGGGAACCGTGTTTTACAGATCAGTTAACTTCGGGGCATATATTTATTAAATGAACTATTCGATGTTAAGTTAATTTTTTTGAATAGGAATGTTAAATATGCTTTTCCTTACAATTCCTAAGCATCCCGTAAATAAAAAAGAACATAGCTTTTTGATTCCTTCAGACTTCATAGTGCGTTTTAACATTGAATTGATTGAAAAATCATTGAATTGATTTATTTTTCAGATGGCGCTAGAGTATTCGATTCTTCCAATCACAAAAGAATGCAGCGGGAATAACACTTACAATATATGTTTAGAAGAAAGTTGGGATAAAGCGCAAAAAACTTTCCATACATATCTCGGTGGGACAAAAAAAGCGGGAAAAGCAACCATGATATGGGGTTTCAGTTTTGCAACCAGACATTTGCAACTTCTATTTAGGAAATAATATCTATATATAGGATTTAAAAAATATTGTTGATTTTAATGATGGATGATGAAGCAAATGATTTAGATGGTCTGTTTGAAGAGTATGAAAATGGAAATGAAGAAAATGAGGATAACAATAATGGTGTTACTAATCAATCTAAACCAACAGAAAATGCTGAAAAAGTTGCTGCTCCTAGACGGGCAGTTAAAAACCCAAGATTGAAATTCAATGCAGATAGGTAAGTTTCAGTTTTTTTTTTATTGTAACTGATTGTTCTATATGAACATTTATGTGGTGATTCCTGATAGCTATTTGGAACTTTTTCATTGTAGACTTTATTTTTTAGGCTTTGTGGCGAAAGAGGTATACCAGTTGTCGTGAAACATTTTGAAGGTGTAAAGTTTAAAGGTAAAGGACACGAGGTAAGAATCCTTTTCGGATAATGATATGTTTTGTTATTATACATTTGTTTCATCTCTGCTGCATTTTAAGAATTATAGTAATATCACTGGAGTTAAATATTTTGCCTAAAAAGTTCAAATTATCCTCTGCTTACTTAATTTTTTTGTGTGTATTATATAGATATATTTTATCATATTAAACAATTTTTAGTTTGTTAAAGATCATTCAATCAATAAGAAAACATTGCACGAAATTGATGTTATTTTATTAAATAAGACATGTTTTGATGTTTGTGTACATCAGAGGTTGCCAAACTTTTTTGATCATCGACCCCTACATAATTTTTCGAAATCTCCATCGACCCCGATAAAAGTAATTTTCTGTTAATTAAAATAAAACTCTATTAGATACTGTGTTTATACATTTATTTTATGATTTTGAACATTTATTAAAGTAATAGTACATAGTGTAACAATAGTTTTATGAAAAATATATTAATGTTGAAATATAAATACCTTAATATTTATGAAATAATAAGTAATTATAAGTAAGTAGAAATAATAAGTAAAGTAACTACGGATTTATTGCTTCTTAATCAATGACATGGGTGTGCCTGGTGTTTTTTTTTCTTTTTTTTGCAAGGTTCGCTATATTGGGTTCAAAATTGGTCAATTTTAATCTTAAATCCCCTCGAAACTCCACATTTAATTTATTTCTGTTCTTAGTTAAGATTGAATTTACGTGACTGAAACCGGCTTCAACCATATAGGAACTTGGAAATGCTATCATAAATGGCTGAGCTATTTCGTAAAGTCTTACATATTTTTGCATTATATTTATATTTGTCCAAAATTTGCTTATTGTTAAATTTTTAAAAAGCGTCTTTGCTTCAAATCCCCATAATAATTCAGCAAGCTCATCTTGCAGGTTGATGTCCACGTTTTCAATTTGAGCAGAAAATGGCACAATAATCCAATCAGGGATGTCAATGTTTTCCAAATCAACAAAACGCAGTTTAAAATCGTCGCTCAATTTTTGAAGATTACCTGTATATATTTCCAAGTCTTCTTCTTTTATTTCTAATTGTCACATATCTGAAAAATACTGATAATCCTTCGACCAATCGACCCTTCCGGTTCGGATCGACCCCCATTCGACCCCCTGGCTCAGATCGACCCCCGCTTATGTTAAATAGACCCCTGGGGGTCTATATAGACCACTTTGGCGACCTCTGGTGTACATTAAAGACCTATTATCAGGAGAAATCTATTTTCTGGACTAGTTGATGTCCCAACCAACGGTTCAGGATATTAGACTTTCTATTGTTGTATATGGATAATATATAATTGTATATCAAAAATTATTGAAATGAAGTCTATACATCCATTAAAAATGAATTCGTGTCCTTAACACAGAGTTTTATGGAATTAGATTCATAATTATGATTCCTGATTCCCATTATTGTTTACATCATTTACATAGTTACTTTTAATGTTTCATATTTTAATAATATAAATTGCCTCACAAATTATTAATAGCTATAATTTATTTAAATTTTTAAGGTATCGTGTTACAATTTTCATTAAGTTAATTGGTTTTAAACTTAGTGCTAATTTATCGTAAGATCTCAGAGGCTTACCTTTTTGGGAACACACTAAATGTTACAAATATTTTTTTATTTTGTATTTTTCTTTACAATTTGTTTATTATGAGTTAACAAAAATCAAAATGAATATATATCATAATTTGCTTCAATGTAAATAATTTAAGAACATTTTCTAAATAAACAACAAGTAAATTTGTTTTAAAGTTACAAAAAAAAAGTTTAAAGTTACTCCTGAATTTAGCTAGATTTTACTAGTAAAAAATTACACTTTTTCAGTTGACCTAGTATCAATACTGGAGGCTTTTGTTTAACATTTTTTAAATATATTAAAATATATGAATCCAAAACAAGAGTTTATTAATTGATTATTTTTTCATGAATCTAAATTAGTATTATTTTTTTCATAAATGTAAATAATTGTGTATTATTAAACTATTGTAACTAAATTTTTTTTTCTAAGGTTGAAGATTTAAATAAACTTCTATCCACTTTGGAACATTGGTGTCACCGTTTGTATCCTAGTATGAAGTTTGACGATTGTCTTCGACAAATCGAGAAACTGGGGAAAAAAAGACCGGTTCAGGTATTTAGTTTTATCCTTTGCTTCAATTTTGTTTTTTATTATAAACTAAACATTTGTAGTTAAAGCAACTGACTCTGATTATATTAGTTATTGTGATGAATCATTTGCAACTTCTTAGCGTGAAACAGCTGGGCGTTGATTACAGCAAATTATTATAATTTAATTGATTACAGACAAGAGTTGGGCAAAAATGTAATTGATTACATTAATCAACTATGTACTTGTAATCAGGGTTACAACATTCATAATTTTAATTACAACTGTAACCTTGATTACATGTAAACATAACTATTAAATTGGAAAAATAGCTAAATACTTAAGAGAATTTTCAATGTAGATTTTAGACAAAATTTAGTTGATAAGTTTAAGAGAGAAAAAAAAAGAGGTTTAGAAATATGGTATTATTCATTTAGAAGCAGATATTTTTTTTTTCATAGTTTATTCTAATAATGTTAAACTTTTTTTGTTTAACTTAGAATTATTTGTTTAAGCTTTAATTAAAGATGTTAATTGTTTTCTTTTAAGACATGCCTAAGGAAGATAAGATTCGACATGCCTATACTCAATGACGACTTTGTTCATGAGGAACCTGAAGAAGATGAAGTTGAAGTACCACCTCAAGATGCATTTGATAGACTTATTAATGAAATTCAGGGCAGTTCAGATGCTCAACTTGCTTCAACTCCCTTGCCAGTAAAAGCAGCTGCACCAGAACATAGACTAGGATCTTTTGGCTCTGTGAGTTTTCTGTCTCAGTTTTTCATCCTTATCAATAATGAAATTTAATTGTAATATCCTTTTGTAGAGCTGCTGATTTTAAGGCACATCAAACAGTTATTTAAATTCTACAGCTTTGTTTTTATTTCAGACGTTAGCGATGACCATAACACGAACACTCTCTTCATAGTATTTTTATTTTGAATCTATCGACACTACTATAAGAATATGGAATAAATTTTCTTGCGGTAGTGCTAAGAAAAAAGTGCATTATTTCATTGCTCTATTTTCACACCTTTCTGTTTTAGATATTTCAAATTTAAGTAATAACAGAGCAGAATTGCTCAGTTTATTAATGTTAAGAAATCACTATAAAGATTTTATAGCTCTATCTCCTCTAAGCAATTTTTCAGTATACTAATGTATTTATATTTTTTCCCTGGTTTAATTTAGAATTTTCCTAGTTTTTTGTGTCGGAAAATTGAAAAGTTTCTTAAACAACCTCATTTTTTTACTTATTATGTTCTTGAGAATTTAAAAAATATATATTAAGTAGAAATGTTACAGTTAATGGTCTAAACCAGGGGTTTCGAACTCACATGAGGCAGGGAGTCACAATTAATAATACCAGCCAAATGGTGGGCGGTAACTTTATCAAAATTTTATATAGGAGTCTTTTATGTTTGAAGGAACATTAAATAATACTGTCAGATTTTTATCAAGTTGTACAAAACAAAAGTATTGAATTGCAAATTAAAATAAGATGTAGATTTTTATAAATATTTTATTGCATATTAAAAAATTCTGGCCACAAAATTTTCAAATGTAAATAATTTCATCCAAAACGAATGATTTTAAAAAGTATAAGTTGGTAACCTGTGGTTTAAACAGTTTTTACAGGGATGTGATTGACAAAAACACAAAAAAGAGGAAGTTTATAACTGTAGCATTAAACGTGCAAAAGAAAAAATGATATGAATTCAATAGCCAATCTGATAATGATTACATTATTATCTATTCAAATAAATATAAATAAATGGTAATTATGTTCTTAAATAAAATCTTGATTAAAATAATTTTTTTTTAATAATTTAGATAACTTTGAGTAATTATGCATAAGCAGGATTTTATGTATCACATCATTTTAAAAAACATTTCTTTATTGGTTAAAGGACCTTTATGGACTTTCTCATCAGTTCTTTGTTTTTTCGATGGTCTTTTATTAACATGACTGATCTGTAGACTGCGTTTTGCAGACTTTTGATCATCAGTGTTGATAGGACAAGAAAGTTCATTTCTCACACAATTTTTAGAGGCCTTAGATTAAGAATCGCGATGTTGGATTTCAAAATCACGTGAATAAGAATCGCGATGCTTGATTTTAAAATCGCGTGAAAAAGAATTGCGATGCCGGATTTTAAAATCGCGTGAAAAAGAATTGCGATGCCGGATTTTAAAATCGCGTGAATAAGGCGATATCGGATTTTAAAATTGCGATGTTGGATTTTAAGATTGCGTGAATAAGAATCGCGATGTTGGATTTTAAAATAGGGTGAATAAGAATCGCGATGTTGGATTTTAAAATCGCTTGAATAAGAATCGCGATGTTGGATTTTAAAATCGCGTGAATAAGAATCACGATGTTCAATTTTACAATAGCGTGAATAAGAATCACGATATTGAATTTTAAAATCACGTGAATAAGAATCACGATATTGGATTTTAAAAGCACGAAAATACAAATCGCGGTATTGAATTTTTAAATCGCGTAAATAAGATTCACGATGCATAATTTTTTAGAGTCCGTGAATACTTATCGCAACGAGTAATGTTTAAACTGCGTATAAATTCGAATATCGATGTTTGATATTACAACCGCGTGATAATGATAACGAATCGCAATATTGAAATTTAAAAATATATATGAATACGAATCGCGACATTGGATTTTAAACTAGCGGGAATATGAATCGCGATATTGGGTTTTAAAAACGTTTAAATACAAATCGCGATATTGGGTTTTAAAAACGCTTAAATACAAATCGCGATATTGAATTTTTAAATTGCGTGAATGGGAATTGCGAGTAATGATTTTTAAATCGTGTAAAAACGAATCTCAACAAGTAACTTTTAAATCAGTTAAATTCGAAAATCGATGATTTACATAAAAATCGTCTAAATAAGAATCGCAATTTTAGCAGATTCTGGCCCAGTTCCTAATATTTAAAATTCTGTAAATCAGCCAATCAAAAGAAATCAAATATCAGCATCCGAAACGAAACTGCTTAGGACTTTTTCTACCCATTCTACAGAAATTCTACTCATTTTCTTCTGAAGATCATTTTCTCAGGAGGCTACTGCAGGGGGAGGGGGGGAGTTCGTCGCAAATCCGCGTTCGTTCGACTCCCCAAAAGTTTTTGGAACATGGTCGGAAATTTTAAAAAGTCTTTCATCCCTGAAAAGATAAGAGAGTAATGGAGTAGGAGACGGCATTGTTTTACCAAGGTCAACCACTTTTACCCCAGCCAGCAGATTGACATGCGAAGAAAGGTTTATTGGGGGCTTCAATACTTTCGCTCCGCGGAAAAAAAAAATTTTCAACAGAATATCATTTACTGCATAAAAATTTTTTTCGCGCGGAAATTTATGAAAAAAGAGCAGAAGATATGGAAAAATCTGAAAAAAGCGGAAATCAGCGGAAGAATCACATCCCTGTTTTTAACAGTATAACAAACATTTTTTACTGTCCACTTACTTTATGTTACATTTGTGTAATATCTCAATCTTAAAAGATTATTTCGAATGCAGCCCTAATATTTGTAAATGTGTTATACTATTTTACAAACTTATATATACCTTTACTGTAAAATAGTTTATTTTATTTTTATTTTAGACTCTAACTGAAGAACAAAGAAAAAGAATGGAGTATAATAAAATGCTAGCTACTGAACGACGTAAAGCAAAGTTTTTAGCGATGCAATCTTCTACAGTTCCCCGCAATGAAACCGAGGATTTGTTTGCAGTGGAATCAACATCTGCTATTCATAGTTCTTCAACTGATAAAATAGCAAATTCCATGTTTGATGATATTTTTACTGAGAGTAGGTCACTCTTATCCACCAAGTCTGATAAATTGCATTCAGCTTCAAATGACTCCTCGGAGGAATTAGAGTTGGACGACTTGGTTGATTTGGTAAATGATGATGAACCTTCTGCGATTCGAAATGAGGATAACAGTCTTAATACTTTCCCAAAAATGAATAAACAAGGTAAGGTAAAAAAGAAATTTATCATTCTTAGTGATGAAAGTGATGGTGACGAAATTGATAAAAATTACACTGAAGTTGTTGACTTGGAAGACAAAGTTGAAAAAAGTTCTATTCCAAATAAAAAAATTGAAGTTATAAATTTAGAAAGTAAAAGTAACACTGAGCCCATTATAGTGGTGAATTTGGATCCAGAAACATCACTCAATGTTAGTAATCCTGCTCAGAAGGTAACGGAAGTCATAAATTTAGAAAGTCACAACACTGAGTCAATGACAGTGGTGAATTTGGATCCAGAAACATCTGTAAATGTTAGTAATCCCTTGCACGTGATTAATTTAGAGAGTGAAGAGGTTGATCTAACCAATAAAAAAACCGTAGATGATACAAATTCAGAAATGGATCTTGCAAGCCCACCAACAATTTCTTCTACAGGTGTAAATGAAGAAAATTTTAATTTGTTGTCTCCTGAAAAAGATAAAATATCAGACTCTTTTAATGCGCAAGAAATTGTTCAAGATAATGTGGAGTCTATGGAAATAGACTGATTGCTTAAGATTGTGCCTTTAGTTTTAATTATAACATTAACTTTTATTTCATGAATAGTGATATTTTGTTCTCTTTTTTATTTTGTTAATGTTATGTGAAAGGCAATTTTCCTCTCATGAAATATTGCAAAATAATAATTTCTTATGGGCAGAAGAAAGTTAAAGTAGATGATTAATTATTTTATTTTCATGGTAAATAGTGGGATTTAAAAATTTATGTGATGTTTTCATCTAACTGTGATGTAAGTCTAAATGTTTTCTTTGAATAGATATTAGATAAGTTTTGAAAAATAATAACCTGTTTTGGTTCTGAATGTAAAATTCTATTTAAAATGAGAGTCATGTCTTGCTATTCATGTATCAAAATTTATATTTTGTCACTATGCTATTGTGCCTTGAATTATATAAGTGTAACTGCGATTCTAGCAGACTGGAAAGTATTAGTCCTTTGAACCCAGGACTTCCAAATTTCTAGGTCCTTTTTTGCTTAAAATGGGTCACAATTTACATAAAAATGTAATTAGCAAATTGATTTATAAACAATGTGGCTATATATATTATACTATATATATTGTATAATTATTATTGTACATATATTATACACACTATATATTTAAATTTTATTAATGGGGATAATATTAAATACTGATGAACAGTTAAGGCAACTCTATTGTCATTTCACTAAAAAACATATGTAACATGTATATAAAACATATAAACATGTATATATATAAATTTAAACAATATGAACCTACATGGTTGAAAAGGTCAATTATTTCCAATTTGGATGTGATAAATTTACCCTTTTTCAATGGGTACAAAACTTTTAAAATTAGTTTGTTAAACCAAAGATTACTCTATAAGCTGTTACATTAAAAATATATTATATAATGTCATATATACACTCATAAAATTTAAGAAAAATATTTTTCTATTCAGGAATTTGTCAAACTTAAGAGTGTGTATCATTTAAAATAGTTCTATTCTAGTTATTTTTTTGTCTACCTAAAAAGTTTGAAGTGTTATAGTCAATATTTTGACATCTTTACTTTAAAGGGTTCGTAAATTGTAATTATCTAATCTAACTAAATGAAATGATAATAGCATTCATGCAGTGATTGTTACTATCTATAGATTGTTAGTGTATCCATAAAAACAAGAGCAACTGGAATTTTTATTCATTGCGCAGCTGATGAATATTTTATGAAAATTATAAATCTTTTGATATTGTGTTTAATTTTTTCTGTAGATTTTGTAGGATATATTTTATTTACTGTATATAGTAATAAAAATTGAAGTTTCTATATTTTTGTATCATGAAATAGTAAATATACATTTAACACCCCCCACACACTTTTCTGAGGAAATAAGTTACTGTATGCATAAGAGATGAGTTCAGACTCTCGTTTGGAGTTCCGAAGAAAAAAAAATTTGTTCAAAATATATTTATTGAAGCATTTAATTTATGTTATTTTGTATTGTTATGGTTCAAATACCATATCAATAAAACCAACACTATTATTTTGAGGTAAAATATCAACTTTATTATTTTATTGTCAGGAAACAAAGACAAGGAACAGAAGACAATTAAGTATATATAGTCTATATCTATAACTTATGAAATATAACTATAACTTATGAAACAAATGAAAAACAACTTTTGATATCTGGTTATATGCATAGTAAAACACATTACTTAAAGTATATATATATCAATGAGTTACAGCAGTTCCACAAGTTAACTGTTGTACAAGTTATGAAACAGTTTTTCATAATTTGTACAACAGTTAAATATGGATGATATGATAGAGTTCAGAAGAATAACTATGCATTATTTTTTTTCTTAACATTTTGCCTGACACATGTGTAGAACATTTAATGAGATTAAATACAATAACAATATTTTTTGTTTTATTTTTTAGCGAATTATTCTTATAACAATCAAATCACTCTAAAGAATTTTAAATTAAGCAGTTCTAATTATTTAATGCATAGTTATCTATTTATATTCCATAAATCATAAGTATAATAAAATAATATGTGCACACATGTAATATTAATGACAATACCAGGTTTAAACTGAACCTTTTAATGAGTAACTAAAGAATCTGTTTTAAATATATACTAAGAACTTGCAGATAAATAATAACAATTTGGTTTACAAATAATATCGACAGAAGAGCTATCTTTGTACTGGGATGCATAAAGAGATAAGTGACAAATATAAATGTTTCAATGTTATAAAATTTTTTTTTTTTTATAATAAAATTAAAGCTGGTGTATAAACTAGTCAGGCCGGTATTATATAACAGTCGCATCTTGATTTAACATAATACCCATTTGTATTGAATATTACAATTTATTAAAAGCAAAAACTTCAATTTAACAAAAAATAAACCTCAATTATTTCAATAATCATTTTTTGTTGTTTTATTTGTGTCAGAATTTCATGATTTAACAATTTAACATATTAGATGAAAAAAACCCAATTTAAGAAATAATAATTCCCAAATAACATTCAAAATTTTTATTTCATATTTGGGTCAGAAAAGGCTTTACAAATACCATAGTATCAGGGCTGCTATGAGAGACTAAAAAAGCAAAAAGTGTTGATTAATAAAATTTTATTAAAAGAGATTAAAATGAAACAACTTTTTCTTGTCTATTTTTATACAGTTTGCTATGGATATGAATGATTCGAAATGTAAGTCACAGTGGTAGTTATGAGTGAATAATTAAAAAGACAATAAATAAACAAAAATGAATCTCACATTTTTAATTGCCTTTGACATCCCTGTAGTTTATATTTTTCTGAGAATAGAAAGGCTTTTTTTGTAACCAGTCCTTTTTGTTTTGGGGTTTTAGGAAACAGGAAATGGTTAAAATCAGAACACACTTAAATCACTGTATTTTTAATTGTTGAATAAAAAGTGTACATTTGGCTATTTTTGTGTAGCTGTTTGTTCCGTTAGGTAAAAGGAGAAATATTTTATTTTCAACACTAATATTGCAAATAATCCCCACCTTAAGAAATAATATTTTTGGAATATTTTTAACTTTTCATTCAAAGTATTTTATTTAGGCAAAAAAAATTGCCTTTAGTGCATCTTATTAACCATATTATGAGTGATATGCAACTAAAAATACAATTTAAGTGTTCCAAGATAGATTTTGAGAAAAGTAAAAAAAGAAAAAGTGACAGCTATTTTCTTTCACACTCCTGCCATCAACAAAAATATAGAAGTTAAAAAAACTGATACAAATAATATTTTTAAAAATTTGTTTTCTCTCAATACAGTCAAACCCCGCTATAGTGAACCTTCAAGGGACCGAAATTTCGGTTCACTATAACCGGGAGTTCACTATATCCGTTACGCAGGCAATTTCACTAATGGTTCCCAAACTCCTCCCTTTTATTACATTATATTCAAATAAATGACTGAAAAATATTATTTAGTAGCAAAAATTGTGTTATTTTTCATCACTCTTCGTCTTGCGTACAAATAAAAATTAGTAATCTTTAATTGATGAGCAATCCTCAACATCAGATATGGAAACATTTCCTGACTCTCAGAAAATTTTTCTGAATTTCTGTTATTCCGCTTTTTAAACCTGTCTAACATGCTATTCGAGCACATAAAAGTAGTTTCCATAGATGGTTTTAAAAATCGGTATGCATTTATTTTAAAGTAGAAATTTCAAAATTATTACAAAGAAAATGGGGGGAAATCAGTCGAAGACAGAAAAAAGTTCATTATATCCAACTTCCTCACTTTTTTGGTTCACTATATCCACTAAAAATAAAATTATACGTGTATAGCAAGGCACGGGACTGAGCATTTCGTTCACTATATCCGGGAGTTCACTATAAACCGTGTTCACTATAGCGGGGTTTGACTGCACATAGTTGATCATACAAAAATGGTAAATATTTACATTTTTTGCCACTTTCATTGATTTTTTCTATTGCACTGCAGAATAACCGTTCTCCAAGTGAATTGAGCAATGTTTTTGATATAAGTTTATTTATGAATGCTTTATTGCATAATGATGCTTTAATGTATCTTTTCTACTAAATAATTTTTGACAAATATCACAAGCAAATTGTTTTTTATCACCATGTACCCTTAAATGCCTGAAAAAGTTCCTCCTATCTTTACTTATGTAAGAACATGTATGACAGGAAAAGTGCTGCTGGTCTTCAGATTGAAATCTTCGCCAGGAATCTATAAAATTAAATAAAATTTTTAAAAATTAAATGCATAATTTTTGCAGTTAAAAAATTTATATTATTTTGATAAAATATAATAAGAGCATTTTAGGATGAAATTTAATGTTTAATTTTATCACAATGTCTATGATTAAAACCAGGTGATTTTAACAAAAATCAGTGAATAAAAACATAATCAAGAAAACAAAATAAAATGAAGGAAAAAAAATAGATCTTGTATTTTTAAATTAAAGTAGAGTGCAATTTTATCTTCATGATAAATAATTGTTTTGTCCAATTAATTCGGTCAATCAATCACTACAAGTTTTCTTGCCAGCTTCTCCAAACATTTTTTTCCTATTAAAATCAACCTCTTTCTTCAGCAGGAATGGCAAGTTTCTTCTTCTACCGTGGAAAAAATCACCCCGAAAGAAAATGGTTTGAGGCTTTTAAGTGAAAAGAAATATCAATTATTAAAACATTTTATAATTGCAATCTAGTTTAAATCATAATATTAATTTCCAAGCTGTTGTGTAACATTTTTAAATAAGTCAAAACTAAAAATTAATCATTAGGAAAAAAATAAAACAGTGAATAGATTTCCTAGAAATTTAAAAATAACTCTAGTTTTCCAATATTTTACATAAATGATCATAGTAAAACTTAACTTTATAGGTATAAAATGATAAAACATATTTAAATTTTAAGAATTATACTAAAGACATACTAAACTATTAACGACGAATCACATGTGGAATACAAAATTACAAATAGCATATACTCATTTTTATAATAAAATATTGTTAAATATTAATACCCAATCGAACCTTTAACCCCTTCACAATAATGAGCACATACTCTTGATTCTTCCTTCATTGCTTACGGTATCATATATGATACAAGCTTTTCAGACAGTAGTGGCTCAAAATCGCATGGACGTGATCTCAGTATGTTTCTCTCATATTATATCTTTTATATGTATACATATGCTCAGAGTTAATGTTGTTTAGTATGTAAGTGAGAGCGTATGAACTCGGAGAATCACTTATTTCTCCTTCCAAGGCCCCTGAAGGGGTTAAATAACATATTTAGATTTTAAAATTACATATGAAACTAAAATAAATAATGCGAAAACAGTATTTTTTTTAAAAGAGTAGAAAAGAAAACTTAACTTTCTGGTACTACGTTAAATTTAAACTGTACTTATAATACTATTTACTATAGTTAATTTTATAGGTCATTTTTGGTTTCTTCAAGTATTCTGGAAGAAATAGGTTTCTTCCAGACAAAATACCAACCCTGATCTTCCGGATCTCTGAATGGGTCGAATTTTTTTGTTTCTTGGTCTCTCTCTAGATTAGAAACAAAGACTCTCTTCTCTCGTTAGTTCAACCCATCTTAAACGAGGGTTGGAAGAGAAGGGAATTAATATTCCCAGCAATATTTACTTTTAAAATATGCATTAGGTC